AGAGCAAAGGACACCATCATTTGAACAAAAGAGCAGCCTAAAGAATGGAAAAGAGTTTCACCAACTACACGTTTGATAGAACACCAATATTCAAAATATATAAAGATATCTCCAAAAGCAAGATATCAAGTAAACAAATGGCCTAGTTAAAAATGGAGCTCAGATCTAAACACAGAATATTCAAAAGAGAAAACCCAAATAGCTGAGAAACACTTAAAAAACATTCAGCATCCTTAATCACCAAAGAGGTGTAAATCAAAACTATGTTGAAGTTTGATCTTAGACCAGACAGAATGGCTAAGACCAGTAAAAAACAAATGACAGCTCATGTTGGTGAGGATTTGGAGAAAGGGGAACACTCTTGCATTGCTGGTGGTAGCACAAACTTGTGCAGCCACTATGGAAATCAGTGTGATAAGGTTCTTCAGGAGTATGGGAGTTGATAGACCTCAGGATCAAGTTATACCACTCTTGTGCATAAACTCAAAGAATTTTTTATTCTACGACAGAAATACTTCCTCATGTTCATTGCTGCTCTATTCCTAATAGCCAGAAATTAGAAACAGCATAGATATCCCTCTATATATAAATGGATAAAGAAAATGCAATACATTTACACAATAGAAATTTATTTTTTAATAGAAATTTATTATTTAGCTCTTTAAAAATGAAATCATAAATTTGCAGGCAAATGGGTGAAACAGAAAAAAATCATCCCGAGTGAGATGACCCAGACCAAAAAAGGTGAATTTGATATGTATTCACTAACATATGGATATTAACTGTTAAGTCAGTGATAAGCAAGAGACAATCCTTATAACCATAGAGGTTAGATATTGAGTAAGGTACAGGCAGCGAGGATTGAATCACCCTAGGAAGGAGGGATAGAGTAGATAGCTATGAAAAAAATAGCTGATACTAGAACAGGAGAAACAAATGGGGAAAGGGAGGGAAAAGGGAGTGAGGGAGGAAATACATGTAGGGGCAGATAAAACTAATGACCATTTGAGGGGTTACATGAAAACTTAATGGAGTAGAAGTACTAAAATATATTCATATATGAAGACAATCTAAATGAAATAGCCAAATACTTGGGTAGAGCCAACTAGCTTGGCCAGAGAGACCCCATGGAAGCTCCCAAACAATCTAGGATGTTGCCAAGGTTATAGATTGCTCTCCACAAACTGATGGTGAGCTCCATTGCTTACGAGAACACCTACACAACTCATTGAACATCTACATACCAAACTGGTGCCTAAATAGAGCCACTTCCACTTCATTTTAGCATCTTTGGTATAAAGAAGGTATTTTGTATACTATCAAAAAAAAAAAAAACATAGGCACCAACCCAGCCACAAACTCTCTGATCTACAATGGTGTCTAGCCTGCAAGATATGCTGGTAGAAGGTGGCACAAGGCTTTTGGGAGTAACCAACCAATATCTGATTTTACTGAAGGCTCCCTCCATAACCATAACCAACAATTCTTTGGTGACATAGAACCTGAGACTAGACAGTCTAGGGATCTAGGATAAAAGCAAATATCATTGTTCTAAAAAAAATATATATATAGCAAAAGATAGTTCTTAATAAGATTCTGCTGTGTTCAGTGCCTTGTTCAGCCATCATCAGAGAAGCTTCCTCCTGTAGCAGATGGGAATAAATACAGAGACCAACAGCCAGACATGCAGAGATTAAGAGACTGTGGAACATTCAACCCTAAATGGATGTATCCATCAAATCCCTCCTCTCAGAGATCTGGGAATTGTGCAAATGAGGAGACAGGAAGAGTGCATAAGAACCAAAGAGGATGTAGGACCCCAAAAAGCAAGTCCCACAAAATCAACAGGATGGATGCATTACAAATGAATTCACAGAAACTGAGACAACATACACAGGACCTACATAAGTCTGCCCTAGTTGGGGTCTTAGAGCTGAAAGGTCAAGGGACACATGACCCCATGCTTAAGGCAGAAGCAATTTCCAAATGATAACCACTTGAAAATGAAAACTTAGTTTTCTTCAAGAGAGTCTCGCTGGGGAAATAAACTACTCAATAGTAGGCTGTGTGCCTAGCAGCAGACGGCCAACAGAAAATAAACCCAAAGTTATCTTTGGAGGTTCTTTTTCCTATAATGTCAGGTCAGGGCTTATTTTTTTTCTTTTAATTGTTTTTTCTTTTTTATTTCCAGAAGCATTTCCCCTCCTCTCTTTTTACCCTATAGGTCTTTTGCATATATATTATGGCTTCCAGTTTAGTGCCTTTAAGAAACTTCTGAGTCTCAGCAAGTGGGTCTATGCTTCTCTATCTGTTTCTTGTGTCTTTTGTTGGACTCTTTTCCTTCTATTTGTTTGCTTTGTCCTATTCCAATGTGTTAGTTTCTGTTTCATTGTATTTTATTTTATTTTTATCCATTATAAGCCCGCTTGTTTTCAAATCAAAGAAATGAGGTGGATCTGGATGGGAGGGGAAGGGGGAGGAACAAAAAGGGGAGTGGGAGCGAAAACTGTTTTCAAGATATATTATTTGAGAAAAAAAATCTACTTTCAATAAAAAAAATCCTTCCTTAATATGGGTTTGTCAGTTAGTTGGTCATTGCAACAATAAAAGTAACTGATATAATATCTAAGTCTATGTTTCAGAAGGATATAAACTATACAATGAGATCAGATAGCAATTAGAAGCAAAGAAATAGTGACCAAGTTGTCAAATACTGTACTTCATACGTTTTATTCCATCAAGTGATTGAGAATATGAGCAAACAAGACCCAGTGCCTTTATCAAGTGCTTATCAGACAGCCCCTACTGACTTTTTGGGACCCTACTCTATTAGGATGGACACCTTCCTAGGCCTGAATGAAGTGGGGGGGGGGGCTTGGACTTTCCACAGGGCAGGGTTCCCGGCTCTCTCTTAAGGAGGGAGGGGGAGTGGGGAGGAGAATGGGAGGAGGGTAGGAAGTGTAAATTTTTGAATGGAAAAATAAAAAAATAACAAAAAGTAAAAGTAAAGTAAAATAAAAAAAGATAAATAAATAGAAGGAAGAAGAAAGGGAGTGAGAAAAGGCAGAGAGCAGAATGCCAGGGCCGGTGCCTCTTCCTCACAGCCAGACACAGAATAAGAAGGAAAAGAAAGCGATACAGCGATGGAGAATGGCAAGAGCCCAGAGGCAAAAGGTAGGAGGGATAAATTATGATAATAAAAGCAGGCTAGAAATAAATCAAGCTTATGCTGGGCATTTCACAGGGGAGGGAGAGAGAGAGAGAGAGAGAGAGAGAGAGAGAGAGAGAGGATATGAACAAAGAGAAATCCAAAGTGAAAAAGTCAACGAGGAGAAAGAAAACCATGAGACCAAAGTGTCCTGGAAATCAAAGGACACTATTTAAGGCAAGATGCAATAATCAATCATGATAACATTTTGCAAGGTCATGCTAGAAAAGGGGTGAGAATGGACCAACAACTATAGCAGAGACAATGTCATAGATAGGTGAGATGGACGAAGTCTTACTAGGGTTAGAGAAAAGAGGGGAGAAAAAGAAAATTACTAGTCAAAAGAGCATCACATTATCATGAAACAGGGAAGTAGGCAACAGCTGCAAGAAAACATGGATCATAAAGATATCTGGGTCCTAGCAGTCATTGTCTCATTGCTTATGTGTCCCAAGTTCTCTTCCTGTGGTGCTTTTCCTCTTCCTTCACCCTCAACCCACGGTGGCCAGTCTTTATTTCTAGACATCTAGGCATCTGCTTTACCCACTGGACTTTTCTTGTATGTAGAGAAGAGTTGCTGAGTTTTAGTGATTTTTAAGGATTCTAAAAAGTGAGGGTTCTTGAGAATTTCATGCATGAGCACTGCGTCCATATCTCTCTTTTCTCCAACTCCTTCCTTCCCCATGCAAATTCATAACTTCTTTTGATTTATTTTGCATGCATATATATATGTATATACACATTGTATATATAACCTTACTGAGTCTGTTTAGCTTTTCTCATATGTATACATGTTCAAGGCTGACCACTAGGGATTGAACAGTCTATGTGGGAATTTGTTTCTGCAGGTAACTGGTTCTTAGTAGGCACTGACCTCCAGAAGCTCCTCATTTACTTTAGGACCATGTGCCATTGCCCCTAGCTGCATCGGTGTATCAACTGATATTATGATGGTTTGGTTTGAGACAGAGTCTCACCCTGTAGCCCAGGCTGTACCGGATCCCACTGTGTATCCCAGGATAGCATCAATCTCACAGCAAATCCTCTTGCCTCAGCCCCATGAGTTATTCTGACTTCAGTGATGAGCTTCTCTGATGTCTATTCTAATGTAATCGGCAAGGAACTCTACACAAAGCACCCCATTTCCATTTTCTGAGAAAGCGTATCATTGTTAGTTTATATCTTTTCCCCTTTAAGATCTAACACTCCTGTTGGACTATAAAATCTGGGACGGCAGGAGTTCACATCTGCCTTATGCACCACTAGGGTCCCTAATATTGATCAGGCATAAAATTGAATGGTAGACAAAATAGCAATGATAGAAGCAAGAAAAGATATTTTGTGACTGAAACATCATCTTCTATCACCTCTTGTTGATATGTGAGAAGGCTCCTTGTCTTCTTTATTAGGGTTCTCAAACTATAAGTAGTAGGTTAAGACCCATGATGAACTAGGCAGCCACAATACTCAGCTCAGTGCAATGGTTACTGTTTATGATGACTTAATTAATTTTGTACTGGAGAGCGAACCTAGAATTCTAACACATGATCATGCACATCTAATAGACAAAAAACCAACAGTTTCTATGTTCACCCTTAGTACATCAAAATAAAATTATCTAGTTTCAGAAGGGCGTAGAAATCTATTTTACCTTAAAACCCGAGAGCTTTCAGTCAAGAAGAAAGAGAACACTTAAAAAAAAAAAAAAAAAAACTAGTTGAAAGGCTGCTGCAAAGAAAAAGCTTAAAAGGAGACACATGCTGCGGGTTTTATTTCAGAGGATTAGTGTTACCTTCCTTCATGGACAATGCCTCCAGCTTCAGTGGAAGATCAGAGGATCCACCTGTAGCAGCGGAACTCTGGATGTCAGGTAAGGCATTGCGTCGGCCGGCCCTTGCTGAAGATGCAAAGCTGCTAATCACAGACTCCACATCAGTCATCTCCGATGAATCTGTCCTCATCACAGCATCTATAGATAGAATGTGCGCATTAAAAAGTCTGAGCCTGTTCAGAGGTAAAGGGTCACCCCAGAGACCGATGGCTAGATCAAAATCGCTACAGGCTTGAAGATCTGATCTCGGGTGGCACACGTACAGCACTTGCGCCTTGGCTCTAGGGTGCCCACGTGAACATTTGCTGAATAGGGCAGGAAGCGCTTCTGTGAGCCAGATCGCTATAAATAACCCCGGAGTCCAAAGCACCACTTGAACGCTTGAGGGTGTAGTAGACCTAGACTTTTGTTCTGCTTTTCTATGGATGAATCAGCCAAGCCAGGGCTTGGAAGCCAATGAAAACGGACTGGTATAGCCACTCCCAGGGTATTTGCTTGTGGTGTTTGTTTAGGCTGAAACCAAATCACTGTAATTGCGGGGAATATACAAAGCACTTTCCCCTTATCCTTTAGAAACAAATTCCACTTTATATATAAGGCCTTTCCCTCCACAGTTGGAACTTCATTTGTTCCGACACGAATAGTTTTCAGTAGACTCATGTTTATCCTGGGCACTGTTTTCCTTGCCTTTGGGTGGGCACAGTCATTGCTAGCACCTTCCCCATCATCCCTTATCCTCCTAGCAACGATCTTTCTCAGTTCTCAAGAAATCATTCACTATACAAGAGGTAGAAATTATTATATATTATTAAAAAATCCTTAACTGATCCCGTTTCATATGATTTTCTTTTCTTTTCTTATAAATTTTTCCTAGGATTTGATATTGAACTGTTACTCAGAAACTGTGATGGTAGCAAAAAGCATTTGCTGAGTAGGCATTTATGCATCAGGTTCTTGCAAGACCTTGAGTGTGTGTGTATCTGCAGGGTGTTTGTACTCAGGGAGACAACAAAAGGTGCATGCTTTCTGAAAGATTACCTCAGAATATGCCCAGTGTCCCTCCCAAAGTCTGGAATTAATCCTTTCTGGTATTTATGACAGTAAACTCTGGTCTAGAAAGCAAGTTAGCCTTCTCACAGTAATGAAAGCGTCGCTCTTCTTAGACAATCAACTTTCACTCAGAATGCTAATAAGCAAATGAGCACATGCAGATATGCTACATTTGGAATTAGAAAACACAGCTCTTGTTGTCTGTCACACATAAGAGCTCATGTGGTGCCCATGTGTTCCTCAGGAGTGTGTTGGCAGTCCAAGTGTCCCTACAAGAAGCCTTTTATTGTTGTGCTAGTCAATCTGCTTTCAAAAGCATCAAATGAGGTTTGCAGACACAATCCGGGAATTAGACTTTCAGTGTTTGATATTCGCCAAGTGTCTGGCGTTGACAGCTCAGAGAAATATAGTGAGCATTGAAATCTTAGTTCAAAAGAGTTCACTTGATTATAGACTTGCAAGTGACAGTGGTCAAATCATCGAAATTTATGAGTCACAGTTTCCCTTCTATATATCGGGTACAACAACTAGCCGGTCTGATTCACGGGACTGGCTTTGTGGAAAAGCAATGAGATAAAGGGTAAACATCTCTCCACTCCTATAAGACCATTGATGAGCAACCACTTGCATCATTGGTCACCTCTCACTGCGTCTCACTTCAGCACCCTGCCGTGTACCCGCTTTAATCCTAACAAGAAGATCCTGCTACAGGATCCTCTAGACACCTGATACAGATATCTTGAATTTTCTAACAAAGAGAACAGCATTTCTTCAATAATATTAATAATATTTTGTGTCTATCACCTCACTTAACATCCCCATAATTCTATAAGGGTAATGGGGTATGGTCCACATTTATGGATCCAGCCACTGGGGCTGAGAGGTTCAATGACTGACTTAAAGTGCATAACCACTAATCTAATTTTGGAGAGAAATTTAGTCCAGTTAACCCTGAAATCAAAATGACAGGGATTGTTAAGAAAAAAATCCTAAAGTTCTGGTGATATATGCAGCTAGCTGCATATAGATCTCCTTTAGATTCTGTTCTTTAGTAATTCTGAACAGGAAACTGTGCATGTTCAAAATTTTTCCTCTGTGCTTCCCCCACCCACCACCGTGCGTGCGTGCATGTGTGTGTGTGTGTGTGTGTGTGTGTGTGTGTGTGTGTGAGAGAGAGAGAGAGAGAGAGACAGACAGACAGACAGACAGACAGACAGAGAGAGAGAGAGAGGGAGAGAGATAGTGTGACACGTATACAGAAATTCTTTATTTTAAATATCTGTTAGTTTGAGAGAACCCCTACTCATGATGAATTCATTTCACCTAAGGTGTCTTCCCTATAGCTTGTGAAGAATTGAGTGACGCCATCTTGAATGGTTCTTGGGCCCTGACTCTATCCCTAGTCAGTTATCATTGCCTCAGAAATGATGCCCATGATCAAATCCTTATCTACAAAAATCATCTCGCCTTGTAACTGCCAGCACACTATGATTGGCTTCACAGACCAGACCCATGATTTATTGCTTGATGGTCTATAGCCTTAAATCTGAAGATAACAGAAATTAAAATATTAAGATACAATATTTTAAATATTTCAATGATACATATGTAAAATGAAGCAGTACATTTCTTAACAAGGTAAGAAAAATCAAAAGAGTTTTTAACTTCTATCAAAAGAGAACTTCTAATTTTGTCTACATTTGTATATTGTATATAAATCTCAACTTTAATATTAAAAGAGATCTTCTAAAAAGTGATTACAGTCATGAGCATGGCAGGAGAATTCAGGACCCTGGGTTAACTTCTTTGCTATTTAGGAAGTTGTTCCTTTTGCCTTACATTATATACCACACAGAATTTTCTAAGTGAAAACATCACAAAACATTCAGTAATGAGAATCTTAAGACCAGGTCAGTGGTGGAGAGCCAGGGAGAGCCAGCAGCCAGGCTGCCTTCCTTTGAGACTCTCTCTGCTCCGCTGTTTCTCAGTTTACATTTGCATTGGGCTCCTCTCATAGGTTGGTGTTGAAGCTGATCAAGATATTCACCATTGACAGACCAGACAGCTTATCATCTCGGTCCACAGAGCTGTGAGTGTTGGCATTCTATGGTGAAAAGCTCTCTACCTTCCGACCCAATGTGTTTGCTTTACAAAGTTTGCAGATTCTTTTTGTTTGTTTGTTTGTTTGTTTGTTTTTCAAGACAGGGTTTCTCTGTAGCTTTGGAGCCTGTCCTGGAACTAGCTCTTGTAGACCATGCTGGCCTCGAACCCACAGAGATTCGCCTGCCTCTGCCTCCCAAGTGCTGGGATTAAAGGCATGCGCCACCATCGCCTGGCTCGGATTCTTGATTCAGGCTGAAGTATCCAGTTCTTTAGATTCTCTGGCAATAGGTGACCTGTAGCATTGGACAAAATTGGCAAGTCCATCAGGAAAAATAACGTGAATATAGCACATACATCGTGCTAAGAATCTGATAATTCTAGGTGACATAGAAAGTGTGAGATCTACCGACAGAAGCATGTCCCCAGAACATTTTGCAATGTTATGGGAACAAAAAGAGGAAAACAATAAAAATAAAATCATCTCGATTTTATACAAAGGAAAAAAAGACCTATTTAGGAACTGCAGATAGAACAAAGACAATATTGACCAATTTTTAGCCCCCTAGACACATTTTAATGTACTGAACATACATTACTTTTATAGTGTAGAAAGAATGAAACAAGACAAATTACGAGCCATCAGACAATCTTAGCACAGAAAGGTTCTAGCAACAATATTTTGAGCATATAAACAGCAAATCATGAAATGAATGCTCCCCCTTCCCTAAATACTCATTTTACTTGTCTTTGTTTTATTAGACAGCAGTGCTTTTAATATTTTATAAGGAATGGCATATGTAGAAACACGACACTGCTTTTTTATAATGCCGTGTGATAGTTAAAAATCATAGTTCATGGGAAGATGAGGTAATACACGACCTAAGGGAAATAAACCTGAGATAAGCTTCTAGGCATTTTAAATGTTTTAAGTTTAAAAAGCTAATTATGTGAATGTTTGCTAACTCAGGTGACTGACTCACTAGCATAGCTTACTCTTTCTCATCCACAGGATTAACAGAGGACCCCAGATGAGTTCTGTTGTCAGCTGTACTGCTTGCAAGGGCTGGAGCCAATTGGAAAATTGGAGATTACATTGAAACCCTGCATTTCCAGTGAGATAATGCCGTTTGTATTGCCATAGACATACATGGTCTTAGTTTAAAATATAGCTTTTAAGTGGCCTTAACAAAAGACCATAATACAATCATGTATACGTACATTCTAGCCTCTTTGCAGTCTCTAAAATATGGAGAATAAGACATAAGCACAAATGAAGACAATCAGATGTTTAGGCTTAAATAGAGTACTAGATTTATACCCATATACACAATATACACATAACATGTACATAATAATGTGTGTGTGCACATATGTCTAACCACTAAATTCTCAGTGGACTTAAAATAACACCAGAAAACAGTGTGTTTCCTTGTTGAAACTGTAGCTACAGACAGATTTTATGTCTGTCTCTCTCTCCCTCTCCCCAGACTGCTCAGTGCATCCTTTGTTCATACTAGCCTGTCCTCAAATGTCTTTACTTGAAGCCAAGAATATAAGCAGGCTGATACTTTCCTCTTTTCTCATCTCTCGGTCCCTATCTTTCACCTCAGTTTCCACAGTGAAACCACTGTCAACCATGTCAACAAAACTTATTTGCTAACTTAGTTCTTGTGGGGGAGGGCGTGAGCCAGACTGTCTGAAGAAAAAAGAAACACACAGAACACAACAACAACATCAAAAAAGAAAAATGAAAACAAAACGACAAAAACCAAGCACTTAGACTAACAAAAATGGAATTCTGAAAAGTCTGTTTCTGGAAGCAAAAAGAACAAAGGCAGATACTGGTCTCAGCTGTCACATAGGGGCTAAGGACTTCCTTAACTTGGTGAGAGAGTAACGCTGAGAATATTTAAGACTACAGCATAAACACTTTTCAAAAGGAAAAGAAAAGGAGAGAAAGAGAGAAGAGGAAAGGAGAGGCATGG